CATTGCTCCTAGCAGGGCTGCCGGCAGGTGCCAGCACCTCATGTTCGCCTGCGGTACCGACAGGCGCGCCGCTGGCCGCGGGTGCCAGCATTTCCTGCACGGTGAGCTTCACGCCCACCACGCAGGGCAGCCTGACAGCCACCGTGACGGCGGTCAGTGGAACCACGGACCCGGAGCCGGCCAACAATTCGCGTGACCAGGAGTTGGTGGTTGCTGCCGCATTGACGCCGCAGCCGGTCCCCGCCACCGGGGTGCCTGCCCTGGTGCTGATGGGCCTTGCCGTCATGCTGGCCGGTATGGGGATGCAGCGGCGCCGGGCACGGCGCTGAACATGGACGCGGCAGGCGCCCCGGCAGCGGGGCCGGCACCGCCCTGATGGAATGCCAGTCCGCGCGACTGGCATTTTGCATTTCGGGCCATCAGGTACCGACTGATGCATGCGGTCTGCGGCTCTCCGGCCTGGGCCTTTGGGGGCAAGGCAGCCGCAGTATCGGGCGGATGCCTATAATCGAAAGTTTTGCATCTTCTCTCGTATAAGCATTAGCGCCATGCCTATTTATGCATACAAGTGTGGCTCCTGCGGTCATGCCAAGGACGTGCTGCGGAAAATCTCGGATGCTCCGCTGACGACCTGCCCGGCCTGTGGTGCCGAGGCCTTTTCCAAGCAGCTGACGGCTGCCGGCTTCCAGCTCAAGGGCTCGGGCTGGTACGCGACCGACTTCAAGAACAGCGGCAGCAAGAGCGCCGCCACGCCGGCTCCAGCGGCCGACACCCAGGCCTCGGATACATCTGCCGCACCTGCGGCAACTGCGCCTGCGCCTGCTGCGGCCCCCGCATCTGCTCCCGCACCCTCCACGGGCCATTAATCAAGGCTTGCATTTCTCATGTCCGCTCTGCGCAAATGGCTGTTCGCCGGCCTGCTGGTGATTGTTCCTCTGGTGATCACGCTGGGCGTGCTCAACTGGATCATCGGCACGCTGGACCAGACGCTGGCCATCCTGCCCGAGGCCTGGCATCCGGACCGGCTGCTGGGTTTCACATTCCCGGCTTCGGCGTGGTGCTCACGCTGCTGATC